TGAGTGACAGCACTCTCACCTGGGATAACCTTACAATCAGTGTAGTTAGTTCTCCAAGTCATCCGTACTAAAAAGTAGTCAATTTGGGTACTATTAGCTCCACTTCTATAGGTGACAAGGTGAGAGTCTCTTTTCTTGAACCAAGTGTTCGTCACAGCCAACTCATATGTCGAGGCAAAATCCAGAATGTTCTTCCCGCTTCATTTCTAGTGCCAAAACCATGTCCGCCATGGACACTCTCAAAACCATCACGACTTGAGCACACATGCCCGTTGAGGTCACCTCCTATGACCAGTTTCTCTCCCCTTGGCACTCGTCGCACCACTTCCTCAAGATCCTCCCAAAATTGTTGAGTGATAGATGCATCCAATCCCACTTGTGGTGCATAGGCACTAACCACGGACACGATCTCATCCCCTGTTATCAACTTAATGCTCATGATGCGATCATTCTTCCTAAACACTTCAACCACACCGTCAACATAATCATGTGCCACCATAATGCCTACTCCATTTCTGCTCCTCTCTCCCCCCGAGTACCAAAGCTTAAAACCTCCAGTATTAATGTCACGTGCCTTTTCTCCAACCCACTTAGTTTCTTGCATGCACATTATGCTGATATTCCTCCTCTTCATAACCTCAGCTATCTCAGATGATCTTCCCGTAAGAGAGCCAACATTCCATGTCCCAAAGCGCAATCTAACACCCTGCCTTCTCTTCTTCACCCCACATCGACCCCCACCATGCCCTTGCATATTTGACACCATCCCCGGGCATTGGAGTTGCGCATCGCTTCCGGGCGACGACCTAGCAGCCTTAGCATTCTTATCACCACATCCAGGCCTATGAAGTGTAGCGCGCCCTTGCTCATTTGACACCACCCCCAGGCGGAGGGATGACGCGTCGCTTACGGGCGACGACCTAGCTGTAGCGATATTCATATTTCGATTCATGTCATGTGATGTGACTAAGTGATACTGTTGGTCGTCACGCGCCTACCACAGCACCCTCCTCCTTTATCCTGGCTTGGGACAGGCATGATACCAAAAAATGATCTCATGGCGAGTTAATAGAATATAGAGCAATTAAACAATTTTAACATACTAAGCAATCAAAATTAAAGTGTGTTTTGTTTTTAATAGCGTAAACTTGTGAAATGGTGTTCCTATTTAGAACATGTATGGTAACACCAAAATTGGTCGAATCGGTTAATTCTACGAGTTTTATGTCAATTCTACATTTAGTTCATGTGTTTTATATCAAGTCCAATTTAGTTCTTGACCAATTTTTCTTGACCATTTGTGGTCTTTTTCCGGGATTTTAAGTTTTAACCACCAGAAATATTGATGGAAAGATCATATATGACCGAAAACACAATAGTCATGTACCAAAAGTGGTCAAAAACGTACACTAATTGTGGAATTAGTGCGATACTCGTAGGACCAAACGTGGAATGTATACTTTTTAAAGTACTATAACTTTTTATGTGTACTTCGATTGTTAGAAAAAATATATCAAAATTCATAGCTTTTTACTATCTTTCATATGACATCAATGTTGTATATATATAAAAAAATCAATTAATTTGTGCAATTTAGGATCGTATTTTTTTTACTGTGCACACTATTAACTCGGGGCGATATCTTAGAATAAAATTTATTGCACAAATTTTAGCGTAATGAATGAAACAATAAATAAAAGTGATGGAGTTTGTGCAGTTTTAAAAACTTGGGGTGATAGCTTTGAGATTATCTAAAATTTATTAAATAAATTTGATGTGACAATGATTTGTAATAGAATTTATCTAAAGATCGTGAATGGAGATGCTATTAAGAGTGTTTCAAAACTCAGGTTAACCGGTATCATATAAATCTTTTTCATTTGTTAGCCGAAAACAATTTACTTTAATCACAAAAGTAACAAACATTTTATAAAAAATAACCGGAAATGAAATTCATGATCGCTCTTTTGTTCGCTAGTATCAACTATTGGTTTGAATTGTTAGATTTTAATTTTGTTTGAACGTAGACCATTCAAACTCACTTTTTTCAGCTTTGACAATTAATATAACATCATCATAATAATATTATTTAGCTCGGAAAATTTTAAATTTCGATGATCAAACTGTTCAATTCGGTAGTTGATAGATATAAAATATAAACAAAATAATTAGATTTACATTTGAGCATCAGCAATCCCATTTTTTGAATTGAGCAAATAATGAATAAGTTTCAATCAATGCCATGTGGTACTGCCACAAATGAATTGTGTCATGTCACAAGTAAATAAGTATCAAACTAATACTTCTTGTGAGATTTAAGTACATATATACATGTAAGTATGAATGTAATTTGCTCATAGAGAACATTAAAATTCCTTGTAACATACTAGGTGTTTGTAAATAGGCCTAAATGGGGAATTTTATGATGTGCTATTTTTGCTCTTGTTATACAATTGTTGTGACTTTGATACATTAAACTCCCTCTGATATATAAATTTCATACATTAACTCTTTGTGATTTAAAAAATGTGTCAAACTCATCTATGATATAATTATTCATGTGCAAAACCTTCTTTATGAACAAATTTATTTGCCAAATAAATGAAAAATGATTAATATTTTTTGCATAATTTTGTGACCTTGATAAATACTTGCATATACAATGATAATTAAGACAAGTGATTTCTAAATTGTTAAATTAGTTCTTGGAAGGGGTGTTGTAGGCCCGGGACTTGGAACCGTAAAACCGGGAAATCCGATCCGAACCGAACCGATTTTTCCGGTTCGGTTCGGTTCCTATAATTTTAGACTTCATGTTTTTTCGGTTCGGTTCCTATGGTATATGATCGGTTCGATTCCGGTTCGGTTCCAGTTCGGTTCCGGTTCCTAGGCAGGAACCGAACTTCTTATACATTGCATGAATAATATTCATTTAAGGTGCTTCTAGGTGGAATTTTTTGATGGAATTTTGTGAACTTGTTTTCAATGAAATGTAGATTATGTCCTCTAAATTTGAGCTTAAAATTCAATCGGAAAAGTTAGTTAAAAAATTATTGAAAAACACTACGTCAAAATACATATAAAAAACACAATGTTTTTCAATATTTTATTTAACTCACTTCCCGATTTCATTTTAAACTGAAATTTGGTGGATGTAATCTACACTTCATGTAGAACATGCTCACAATATATCATCAACAAATTCTAGCCAAAATGGAGGTGGCCAGACGACGTTCCGGACAGAAAATTCTTGTCAAGAATATTTGTCTTGCATAATATACCTTATATATTGTGGACCACGCCAATCCGAGTAGTTGATATTTTACTACTTTAGTCGATTTTTATATTTATTATTTGTTTCTGGTTGTATTTGTTGTTTGAGTCCACAATAAGGAAATAGTATTCCGTTGATTATATTGTTAATTGTTCATAATAAATTACAAATATTACTGGTCAGTTTATTACTACGTACTTTTTACTTATGGTGCATTACTAGTGGAAGAATACTACTTTGAAGTTGAACTACATTCTATTGAATGTGTACCTTGAAGTTATTAAACCTTTTTGCTTGACAGTTGATGTCTATTTTAAACCTTTATGTTGTTCTTATATTTAAACTTAATGTTTGCACTTGGATATTTTTGTGATATTTGAAAATTGGAATATCATGTATGTATAATAATGTGATGATCATAATTTCATCATTTAAAATTTGATTTCTTTTATGTTACTGAAGCTAAAATGTGTCCATTTTAGAAGGATAATAAATTTTTATTAGGAACCGAAAAATGTAAGAACCGAACCGAATTTAACTTGAACCGAACCGAATTTAACAACTACATTTTTAACTAGAACCAAACCGAATTTAGCGTCTATATTTTTTAATACAGTTCCATCGAATTTTAACAAGAACTGAACCGATCCCAGGCCTAGGGTATTACGTATAAATTATTATAACACAAGGGTGTTTGATGCATTTTCTAAATCACATGTACATTGAACCTCCAAATTGTTCCTAGAATCCATTTTTGAGAAGTTAGGAGTGACCAACTTCTGATAAATTAGAATCAATTTCAAACGGCCCTTAGTAGTTCACGTTAAGAGCTCGTTTGGTAACACTGAATTTGACAGGTTCTGTTGAAATTTATGAAGTGTCGGCTGAAGTGGTTGAATTGGCTGATTATGTTGAATTATGAAAAAAATAATATTTCAAATATATTTAATTAATAAAATAAAGAAAAATTATATGAAAAGATAGTTAAAATGATATCTATTGTAACCTCAACCAATCCAACTAAAAAAGTAACAAGGACCTTGTATATTTTGATAATTACACAACACAATGCACGAGATTAAAAGTTACATTTTTATGAAAAATAATAAAAATACCCCAAACTTTTAAGGGGTGTGAGATAAATACCCTAAACTTGTATATGTAATTTAAATACCCCAAACTTTATATAAAAAGTTATTTTCACACCATTATCATGTATTATTTCTTTCAAAAATGTAAATTTTTTGGGTTAATTGCATAATTTAAAATAGCAAATTAAAAGTGTTGCAATTATATAGATTTGGGATTACATTATTTATTTCTCAATAGAAAATTAGAATGTTAATTGTGTCTTCATGAATTCTAAAATATATTAGATTATGCAATTAACATCATAAACTTACATTTTAAAAAGAAATAATACTTGACTTTGGTGCTAAAATAACTTTTTATATAAAGTTTGGAGTATTTAAATTGCATATGTAAGTTTGGGGTATTCATCTCACACCCCTTCAAAGTTTGGAGTATTTTATTTATTTTTCCCGAAGGTTAGCGGATAAAGCTGATAAACCGAAAAAGATCTCAACCTTTGCGGCTCCTTTTGTCAAACACTTAAATTTAAATTTTAACTCAACTTTAATTTTGCCCACTAAATTATTTAAACAAAAATGATGTTTGTATACATTCTTATACACACTTGATTGTTGTTTAAATGGTAATCATTCGGTTTAAATGGTAATCTTGTTCCCTAGCCTGGCCATCAGCAATGAAACCGATGCCTGTCTTGGAGAAGAAGGCAGACAACTTCTAGGACCTGTGTTCAAGGAACAAAACGTAAGCCACTATTCCAAAATGAAAATTCACGGCATAACTGCTCATAAACTCAGACATGGGTTGGAGCTTATTGCGCGTTCTGCTCCTGGGCTTCAAGTATCGCTTGCTGCAACTATACTGGGTGTTGCTGGATTGGCTTACGCCATAAAAGATATCAAATTCTTGAATCATAGCAGTTTGAAATGGCCTTCAGGCTCCAATACTCGTTCCGACGATTCTATGCTAGTACCAGGCCTGCAAAATCTTGGAAACAATTGCTTTTTGAATGCAGTTCTCCAGGTAGATTTTCATTCGTTGCTCTTCCATTTTTGGCTCCTTAAATTCATTGTGGCCCTCCTTTAATGAACTTAGGCATTAGCTAGCTGTCAGAGCTTCCGGAACTTTCTCGAGGGACTAGTTTCTGAAGTTGGGGGATCGTCCACGGAAGGCAGCGAGCAAAACTCGTCTCTTGCAGGTGCTTTATTTTGGTTGCTCGAAGGTGAGTATTGAGATACCCTAATTGGGTTAGGCATTTGCATTGGCCCGAATTTATTGTCGTAACCATAAATGGAAGCATTGTCCCATCTAATAATTTGATTAGACAAGTCTTAAAACACAAGTATGGAGCAAATAATATTCTGCTAGAATAGTCATGAGTTGAGTTACAACCTGTATACTCCTTGAATAACTAAGAATTGTAATTTGCACTCTGATTTACTAAAATTTTATGAAACCATACACCACTCTTACGAAGTCGAATGGACTTATGTGGCATCATCCTCATCACGCATTGTCATAGTGAGATTGCCCCACTATGAAAAGAAGTGATAATAATTTGACTTCAGCCCATATGACTTCATAGGAGAGTCATGAATGGTTCTATAAACTTTGTCTAGTCTTGTGTTACTTATCAAACTTTCATCCAATATTCTGTAAACGTGTATGGCTAGTTTGTTAATTCTTCTAATGGTGTGTCTTAATTTAATTTTTTAATTAGAGGAGCTTATGGAATGTTGGTCTGTGCTTTTTTTTAATTCTTTTTGTTATCTTACGAATGTGTCACTCTTAATTCATAGTAATGAATTTGAAGTATTGTAGTTATTTTAAATTGTGACAAAGTTTGTGCATTTTCTCAGAGCAACATAATATGAAAGTTATTAAGAGTGAGGTAGCTGACATGATTTGGGACCTTCAATGGAAACATGAAATAATGTAGCAAATTATCTTTCTTAGTTTCTTCTGCCTTTCATCACAATTGTATTACTTCATGCTGCATTATTTTATATTTTATTGATGTGTGCATGTTAAGGGAGAAATCTTGAAATAACTTCTAATGAAAGGAGGAGTACCCTTAGACTCGTGCAGTTCTCCCACATTGAAGGAATACTAGTTATTACCAAAATATGAAGTCTTTAATTTTTATTCCTTCCAACAAGACTACATGTTTTGGTAATACATTTTTATTTTGTAAGTACATTTATATGAAGTCATGGTATGACTGTATGACATTAAACTCAAATGAGCAATTTGATCCAATGAGCCACCTTCTTGAATGACACGTTAAGGGATGAGTCCCACATCAAGCATTTCATTTACATATTATGTTAATTAACTACTAAATACTATCTTACTATCTCTAAGAACTCTGCACAATTCAACATGGAAGAACTGTATTAAGTCCTCAGAAACTGATGCACGCCATGAATGAATATATTCCAAATTTCAACATGACAAGCCAACAGGTATATGTTTCTGTGATCAATGTTGAGCAATCATTTTAAAATGTCATTCTTCCCTCTTAACTAATTAATTGGTCATGTAGGATGCAGAAGAAGCGCTATATCACCTCTTATCTTCTTTAAGGGAAGAGTTGTCGGAGTCTTATGTCCATGAATGTATCTCTTTAGCGGATGTGACTGGTCTTCCTAACTGTAGGATTCTGGATTTAAAGAAGTCAAGAAAAAGTGAACCAGAAAGGTGGAGACAATATTTTATTGGGCCTTTTTATGGGATTCTTTGTAGCAGCTTAATGTGCCAAAGCTGTTCGCTTCAGGTTGAGTTGAACTTGAAAGGATATCTGCATTTCTAGCTGTTCGCTTCTGAATGTTACACTACTTGTTCTTTCTCTATGTTAAATTGGACATGACTCGCCTCGCCCAGAAAGGATCCTCAAGAGTTGAGGTTTACGTCACATTGATACTAGACTCAAGTAAAGTATAAAACAAATGTGAGATACTTAATAGTTAATACACTTATTCAGCCCAAGCTGGGCTGAAGCTGTATGTAATTAGGCCCAGCTGACCTGAAATGGGAAGCCCAAAAACCAGCATTAGATCAGACTATGATGCATGTTAAATACTGCTTACCTGACTCCAAAATGTTTTTCAAGAGTGATATTTGCCTCACACTTATATAATGGATTCACAACCATGTGGGATACCAATTACTCTTTATGCAAGACATTTTTTTTAAAATCTACTCTTTATGTAAGACACTTTGCTGTGTACAAAATGAAGCTTGTCGTATAAGACTTCATAAAAAGTTTAGAAGGGTACCTTTGTTTTATCATCTCTCCATCCTTAACTTCATGCAACACTTAGATCTTAGCTAATTCACATTCTTTTTTGCACAGATATCTTTGGATTTTCAGCTTTTTCAGAGTTTGCATCTTCCACCAATAACCGACTATGATGGGAGTATTGTATGTTGTAAAGTCAACATATACTATGTTTTCAATCATTAGTGTTATTGTTTGAGCCATATGAACTAACGTAGGTGGCCAGATGCCGTGTGGAGGATTGTCTAAGGCGGTTCTTGGTGGCAGAGCAACTTGAGAGTTACTATTGTAGTCACTGTTGGCACATTGCTGCAATAAAGTATGCATCTAAAATAATTGTAGATCAGGTATTATTCCAGAACTTTTAGACCAGCTTCATTTAAGGAGCAATCTTTAACATGTCTTCGTTATACTTAAAAAACGTACCTTTTGAAATTATAGTATGCACTATGTTTTTCAGGGCCCGTATGGTAAGGGTTGAAATGACATATAACTGATAGAAGTGGTTGACTTAATTGAAATTGCTGAGGTTGTGTTCTTATTCTTGTATCTGCTGAATTATTTAAATAATTTATTTATTTAGAAATGAGAAATATATATTTAAACAAATAATCATTTTTCATTTTCATTTACCCAGTGCCGCAAAGGCTCCCACCTACGGTGGGGTAAGGGGGAGTCGGATGTACGCAGTCTTACCCCTGTACTAAAGCACAGAGAGACTGTTTCCGGATGACCCATAGTGAAAATCCCGTCCAAAATTGCATGGACTGACTGCTGCTTCATAACAAAGAAGCGCAGACAGTTTAGTGAGCCATTTTGCTTTATTCCATCATAATCTCAAGCCAAAAAATAATGAATCTTTGGCTCCATTACAAATGATGGAAAAATATTTAAACAAATAAAAGAAGATAAAATCTAAAAATGGAGCTAAATGTATCAATCTTATCCATTTTGGCTATTTCAGCCTAAATTAACTCCTGCAGTACTGTTAGAGTAGTTACTGTGTGTGGTGAAAATGTGGCTAATAAGGCTCATAAGATTAAATAAATTCTTAACAAAGGAGTTGTTAATTGAAAAGTTAGTGAATATTAAGCTCTATGTTCGTGTGATAAATATTTGCAGATTGTTGTTAAAAAACTAGAGCTCTGCCAGGAGCTAGATTCATGTGATTGCAAAGAGATGTCATGTCTCAGAGCATTGCCATGGTCAAATAAATTTTCGCGTACCTTCAAGCAATTTAGTATTGCTCACAGCCCACAAGTATGAGAATTGACTCTTTAATTAAGGTGTCAGTCCATGGGTCTGTCATTATTACTTCATTTGGTTTTGTACTCGAGTTTACATGATTGATAGATCTCTAAATTGCAGATCTTGTGCATCCATCTCCAATGCGCCTCGATTAATGCCTTTGGAGAAAGTGTCAAACTTCAGGTATGTGTTGCCTGGCATTTAACCATGAGGTTAGAGAACATGCTGATAATTGCCATAATGATAATATTAGTTATAATAATATTATTATTGTTATTCCTATTACTACTACTACTACTACTACTACTGCTGCTGCTGCTGCTGTTATTAGTACTATACCAACAACAATAATAGTAATCATAATAGAGAATTAATTTAAATCCTCTAAACTTTGGAGATGTGTGAAACCAATTAACCCCAAACTTGCATATATGACATAAATATGATGAACTTTATGTTAAAGGTGATTCTAGCATCACGTACATGGCTTTTTAGTTTCACAGATGCAGCTTTAGAGTGCCACATGCACAATTTAAATCAATGAAAATCTTGGGAATGAGAACTTGGCATTCTAAACTTACATTTGTGAAATAAATAATTTATGTTCATAGTGTTGAGATATCATATAATATAAAAGTTCATGATATTCATCTCAAACATGTAAGTTTGGGGTGTTGAGTTCACACCTCCCCAAATTTTGGGGTATCTAAACTGATTTGCCATAATAATATCATCTTGATGTAAAAATGTCTTGTATGATTCCGCTTCCAACTCTTGGAATTTCACATATTTCTACGAATAGGATGTGATGCCTAAGTTTATATGAAAAAATAGGAACTTCAGAATCTCTGAGATTTCTAAATGCCTGAAGTTGGTAGTGCTTTTCTCATAGGGCCACATATCTTTTCCATTGATATTGGATATGTCTCCATTTACAAAGACTCAGCTGGGAACAAAGGAATGCGAAGGAGGGCAGCAGATTAGCCTAACGAATTGCATCAGGCAGAGAACAGGAATACCCTCTTCATATGTCAAAGATGGTGGTGAATTTAGAGAAGCTGCATTTCAAGTATCAAATGATAAAGATCTTTATACTCATGTATCAAATCTCAGTTTTGCTTGAACATCAAAACATGTTTTTTTGTCATGATTTGAATCTCATGTAGTATTTGGTTCCTTGACTGCTGCAGAGTGGATCGTATTCGGTCTCCGGCTCTTATCTGCCGTGCTTACACAGAGAGAAACACATTTACCATCTAGTTTCAGTGGTGCAACATTATGGGAGAGTTGGAACTGGTCATTACATTGTCTATAGAAGAGTAGCTGCTAATACCAAGCAAGACAGTCCTGCTGTATCTTCTCCTGAGCAGTGGTATTGCATCTCTGACTCCGAAGTGCATGCTGTATCTGAGAAAGACGTTCTTGATGCTGAGGCTAGCTTGCTGTTCTATGAAAAAGTACCCCGACTCTGAAATTTATCAACTTGAGTTTGATCCCGTTGAGCGGGAGTAAATTACTTCGGTCAAAATATATTTGAATAAGATGCATTTGTTGAATGCATTGAATTACCCAAACGTCTTTACCAACTAAACAAAAGGAAACAATTTCTAAAAGATGAATTTGTAATTGTCATTTACGATCCATTATATATTCTATTTGGGTAAAAGGTAAAAGGGTTTTTTTCCTTGAATATTACTAAATTTAATATGATTTCCAAAAATGTGTCCATTTTTTAAAAAGACAAAAATGTGACTAAGTAGGTCACATATTTGGAAAACATGATGTCACTGTCTCACTGTCATTTTTTTTTTGTCACTACCGGACTGTTATGTCACTATAAGATATATGTCACTGCCTCCATCGCCATCGTCGGTCACCGCCGCCACCGATCACCGTTGCCGGAGTGCCGGACACAGTGACACCGCTATAGTGACACCGTTAAAGTGACTCCGGGCAAAGTTACGGTCCGTCCATCACCCACAGTGACACTGCCATAGTAACACGCTATCTCCGGTGTCCCATCCCTCCACCGCTCCTTACCCTAGCCCCAGCCCCCTCCACTGCTCCCCTCCCCTGCACCCCAGCCAACCTCCCATGCGTCCCAGCCCCACATCCCCCTTCCTCTGCACCCCAGTCCCCTTTCCCTGCCCCCAGCCCCCTCCCCTGCACCCTAATCCCCTTCCCCTGCTCCCCGTCCCTCCACAGCTTCCCCGCTCCATCCCCATTCCCCAGCCTATCTGCCCCAACGCTCCAGCCCCTCTGCCCCAGTGTCGTCCAACCCTGCCACCACCTACTCTTCAGCGCCGCTAGCCATGTCCAACTCTTGGTCCGACCAGCCCAACCCCCAATCCACCTATCCCCAGCCTCAATCTAGCCCCAATTAGCCTAGCCTAGACTCAGCGCACCATTTCCCATGCACCATTTCCCATGCTCAAGCCCCAACCTCTGCCGCCAAGCCGCCGCCTCGGCCAGAGTAAGGGGAAGAAGAAGAATGCAAACCTGGACGAGATGGCATGAGTTGGCTACGAGGAAGAAATCAGCGCCGGTGGGGGGTGGTTGCGACGAAGACAACGCCAACGACGTGTGTTGGCTGTGATGAAGACAACTACGACGTCGAGTATGGCTGAGACAAAGGCGGCGTGCGTGCGTGCATTGGCTATGAGGAAGTCGGCGTTGTAATCTCCTTACTCCATCGCTGATTGTTGTTAAGAGGAGATCCATCGTAGTTTGTTCCAAGAGGATAGGGAGAGTCGTAGTGTCTAGAGGTTAAATTTTTTAAATCACATTTTTGGAAAAATGAAAAAGAGGTATATTTTGGTCTTTTAAAAGTGTCTAGGTCATACGTATGCCATTCTTTCAAGGTAAAAGTAGGGAGAAGGATAAAAAATGATAGGGGTGGGCCGTGGGCGCGGTCCGGAACGGTCCGGGAAATTAGTAAAACCCGTAATGTATACGTGAGGTTTCTAACGATCCGGTACAGTCCGATTCTAAGGATGGAACCATTCGGTACCATGTCGTTTCGGAACGGTACAAAACGGTACGGTACAATATCAAACACATGCTAAAAAATTGGACAAATCTTACAATTAGTAAATAACACAACACCAACCAACTCACATTAAGTGTTGACATAAATACAAGAAATTGCATATGCAGTACTAAAATTCATAAATGCACAAATAGTGCAACACAACTAAGATAAACTACAACAAAATGATGATACAAGAGATAAATATCATCTTTCATTTACTAAGAATATGATCAAAGTGTTCAATATAATAGAAAAATTCAATGTTCTTCTTTATTATAGGTTAAATATTAGTTCTAATTTAATTTATAATTCAATGTTCTTCATCAAATACAATTGCACAAACATGATACAACAAAAAGTCATATACACTACATTACTATAAATGAATAGTCATTGATGATTTTTAAAACTTTAACATTATTTCAATACATACCAAAATATAACACAAAATTATCTAAAAAGAAAAAATAACAATATACATATAAACACACACGTTTAGCTATTTTAGAGACACATGAATACGTATTTGGGTATAAAATTGTTGGTCTATAAAATATATTTATTGGTATGGAAGGAAAAAAAATCAAATGCATTATTTTTTATCGGTCTGGTCCGGTATTTTTCGGTTCTAAAAATCTAGGACCGATCCCGTACCCGTTTCAAACGGTACGGTTTCGGCTCGGGACAAAAATCTATAGAACCGTTTAAATACCCGATATTCGGTTTGGTACCATTACGGACCGGTTCGGTACCGGTTCGGTTTGAGTTTTATGCCCACCCCTAAAAAATGACATTAAAGTTATTTATGAAGTTCATATTAGAAGAACATTCTAGGGTTTATGCTCTGGCGATTGCATGGTAGCGACATCTCCTTGGGCTGCCCCGGCTGGTGGGTCGGGAGCGGTTAGTCGTTCATTCGCGGATGTGTTGGTGGCTAACAAACACATCCCGCTAAAAGCCCCTTTTCGGCATCGTGGTAGGCTGGCAGTTCAATTCTCAGACGATGAGACATCATTGTTGGCAGAACAACATACATATGCTCTTGTGGGATCTTTTCTTCGTGGAAGGCCATCGATGACAACCATCAGGCTGGAGTTCGAAAAGATTGGTTTCAAGGGATCTCTTACGCTAGGTTTGGTTGACCAGCGTCACATCTTGCTTAAATTTGGGTCCGAAGAGGATTTTCAACGGTGTTGGTTGAGACAAATGTGGGTTATCCGTGGGTTTAGGATGAAGGTGACAAGATGGACGCCGGAGTTTAGACCGGATATTGAATCTCCCGTCGTCCCGGTTTGGATCACTTTGGATGGATTACCCCTACACTTGCATGATAAAAGGGCCCTTTTCTCCATTGTGGGAATGATAGGAAAGCCGCTCAAAGTTGATGCAACAACAACAAAGTTCTCACGGCCATCTACAGCTAAAATTTGCGTCGAATTGGATTTACTCCAAGAAATCCCATCCAAAGTTCTCATAATGCATGGGGCGAAAGAGATTGTACAACCAGTTGCCTACGAAGACTTGCCCAAGTACTGTGTCAAATGTAATAAGATTGGACATGCAAATTAAAGGAAAAGTGTGGTATCCCTAGGATTCGTACGGGGCAGGGTGGCCAATTGCATCTGGTGGTTCGGAAGGAGGTTGCAAAGTATATCCAAAAGGCCCCTGATCAATGGATCCAAGTTGTGAAAAAGAGACATGGGAAGGATAAAATGGTTATGGTTGAGGATCAGCCAGAATCTTCAAAGCAAAATGAAAAATTGGCGAGTAAAGGGCCTGAGGGATCAGCGTTTCAAATCAAAGAAAGAGGGGAAACTGAGGAGACGTTGAAGGATAAGGGTGATCGGAACGATTTGGTGGCACAAGTTAGAGATGGGGAAGCAACTCTAATTGGTGGGGAAGATGTGAGTCCAAATATTGAGGAGTTGGCGATGGCCAGTTCTCAACAAATCGAGCAGGAGAACCAGGAAGAGTGTGGAGTGACTAGAAGTGGTATTTTGAAGGAAGCAGTTCAAGATACTTCAGAGGACATCAGAGGACTGATGTTACCAAATTTATTTCTTTTGAAGAAGGAAGTGGGAGAGGGGATGAAGACAGACTAGTTGAAAGAGAAGGTTTTGCTTCGGATGGAGAACATGATTTTTTGGGGGATCATACGATAGAAGCATGGAAAACAGTGTTTGGAGAAATGCAAAAAAAGGTGGATTTAATTGAGAAAAAGAAGATGGAAGCTCTGGATGTGGTGTCGAAAAAGAAAATCAAAGAAGTTCCGCCTCGGGCAGTCACCACTAGATTGGCTGCTAAGAGGATCAACACAGAACCCTCGACAGAGGTTTCTCTATGAAGCTATTATCGTGGAATGTGTGTGGCCTCGCTAATTCGTCAAATTGTAAGGCACCACTCTGTTGACTTTATTTCTATTGTTGAACCGTTGGTGGGTCAAAATAAAGGAGATTTCTTTAAAATGAGCTTGGGTTTTTTCGAGCTTTTTATGTCTAATACAAACAAAATTTGGCTAATGTGGAATACTAATACTTTTGAGGTCTCTTCCATTTAAGAAAAGGAGCAGTTTTTGTTGGTTAAGGTTAAATTCCTTCCTTTGGATTTTGAGTTTGCTTTCTCTCCAATATATGGGTTGCATACACGGATAGATAGGGGCAAACTTTGGCATGGTTTAGTTCAATTTGCTCTTCAATGTCCGGTTGATTAATTATTGGGAGGGGATTTTAATGTAGTATCCTCTGCTGCGGAGTATAAAGGACAGTCTAACCCCCCTATAAATGATATGGTGGACTTTCAAGATTGCATTGATAATTGTGAACTTTTGCAATTGCCTACTAATGGATCTACCTATACCTGGTCCGGTGTTAGATCGAATGGTAGAATTTGGGAGAAATTAGATAGGTACTTGGCTAGTCCAGGATTCCTCTCTAAATTTATGGTGGTTCAGACACAACACCTAACTAAAACTCCGTCTGACCATTGTCCCATTCCGCTTTTATGTATAGAGAATGCAACATCTGGACCTAAATAGTTCAGTTCCAAAATATGTGGCTCACTAATGACAACTTCCTTCCTTTTGTTAAAAATAAATGGAGCGAATACCCTATTATGGGTGGTATGAGGGGACTGAGTGACAAGCTGCGAAGGCTGAAGGTTGATATTAAATAAAAAAGAATGTGGAGGTCTTTGGGGATGTTTTTAAGGAGTCCAGGAGTCTGGAAGAAGAGACCATGGAGGCTGAGAAAATTTTTGAATCTCTCCCTAATGAGTAGAATCGTGCTTTGTATTTTAAGAAGCAAGCAGAACTACTTTTGCTTGCTAAGCAGCTAAAGCTTTTCTGGAAGCAAAAGGCAAATGTGAAATGGTCGAGGGAAGGAAATACTAATTCACACTACTTTCACGAGGTGGTTAAGGATAAGAGAAGAAGGCAAGACATTTTGGCCATTAAAACTTCCTCTGGAGAATGGTGCTATGATCAACATCAAATAGCAGAGGAAGTTGTTTCAATTTTCTCTCATCTTTATCAGGAAGAGGAAACCGGTTCTTATGATAAAGTGCTATGTAACATTCCCAATCTTTTAAATGAGGAGGATAATATTATTCTGGGAGGTCTGCCT